TTTTTTTTTTTTTTTTTTTTTTTTTTTGTGGACTAAAGATGTTCTTTTGCTAATTTCCTAGGTTTCATTTATGATACATCAAATTCTTATGAAGTTGCTTTCTACATTGCTGGTGCTGTACCTATCCTTGCTGCCTGCATTATGTTTGCAATTCCATTCTTGATGCCAAAAGACCAAGAGGATGAAACAGACCATAAACACTATGGCAAATTTGAAGTCATCATGGATGAGAAAGAGGAAGAAGATAGAAGTTCTGGTTATGACTCACAGCCTCGCATCCCACAATTGTTYATTGAGCCAGCAACACCTACTTTGCCACCAGAATCCTTAAGATCTGAATCTCTCCCACAAATTCCACCCCACATATTACATAATCCTAAGAGACTGTCTGGAGATCATACTGAGCTCCGTCCTATCTCATCTATTCCAAAACATCTTCGTCCAAAATCAGTTCAGAGCTTCGCAAGTCTTACTGGTTCACATGTTAGCATTAACAGCATATTAAGTCGATCTGGGCCAAGCACTTACAACATGAATGCTTTGCCACCAATCCAAGAGAACAGTGACCATTATAATGTGAGAAGAAGTAGAGTGCTCGAGCTTCAAAGAGAACTGAGCCCATCTGTGTTCTCTCTTGTGAGAAGACGGTTGGAACTGGGAGCTCCCACTAATAAGAAAACCATGATACCTAAACAGATATCAGCCAGCAAGTATGGTGGCAGTATTGGTTGTATCTCTATTACAAGTGATGCTGTTCCTCTTGCTTACTCTGAAGAAGTTGCAAAAGAAGAAGACAGGGAGAGAGAAATAATGATTGGAAAAGTATCTTGTGTTTAAGATTTCATTTTGCCTCTTCAAAAAACAAAGGTTTGAAGCTTAAATGGGAAGGGATTTTCTGATTCATCAAAGAATAACTTCAAAGTTTTTACAAGAGAATAAAAATTCTTCTGCAGAATTTTTTTCTTACCAAGACCCAAAAAAGAAAACACTTCCAAAGCGAAAGCATTATTGAAGTGCCATACTTACCAAGAGTAAAGTATTAAGAACAGAAGTGGCACAAGCTGCTTGCAACATGTTAACTGAGATTCATTTGAATCAAGATCCTCAAATGAATAAACATTGTTAAAAGAGGAGAAAGCAAAACTAATTGAAAAAAATGTTTGCTATAGTGCTGTTACTTTGTTTAAGATATTTCACGCAAGCTTGTTAGTTTATCACTTAGCATTCGTAGTTTTCATTATGAATCTAGTGACACAAAACTGTTATATGGAAAAATATTTTAAACTTTATAAAATTTTATAAAGGTTTAAGCACAATGGTAGCTGCACAAGTGAATTTTATAATCTAAAGCTTAGAACTGCACAAATTCAAATTTTCTAGTCTACTTTCAAAGTTTAGGGGAAATTTTGGGAATTGGATATCTYTATACTTGACTCAAAAATATAAATGACCATGAATTAGCTAACTATGGAAATCCAAAAAGTATATTTATTGAAAAACAAAGAGACAGAAAAAAAAAACAAAAAGAAAAATGATGAAAAATATGTTTTCGAATTCAATATTCATGCAGCTTTATAAAAAATAAAAAGTTTAACAACGTGTTTGTCAATCACATTGTATTTTACTTATTCAGTCATAATTATTATATATTTCCATTATTTGTTTACTTCTGCAGCTACCAGTCTAATTATCATAAACATTGATGTGTTTCGATACCACTGATACTATGTCTTAGTCTTCTTATGGCAATGAATTAACTTAAAAAATCAAAAGACAAAAAAGAAGTTGATATATTTATAACGTTTTTGATTATTTTTGAACTCATTTTGGAGTTTTTATATAAAATCATTATCATAGTTTATCTAACAAGTTTAATTAGCAGCTTGTTTTAGAGCTAGTGTAGTGTTAGAATTCAAAGTTGAAAGGCATTTATAAATTGAATTTAATCAAACTCTTGGAAATCTCACCATACTTTATAGTCCACAAACACTCCTTACATGGCTTACACATTTTGAAAAAAGATATTTTGTCCTTTCATAGGTTGCACAGGGTATCACCCAGTAAATCCAAGAGATAAGATTAAAATTCTAGTAAAAAGATTGTAATTCAAGTCAAGAGTTTTTCTACAACTACAAAAAAATAGTCCTGTACTGGGTAAAAGGCCTTGGTTTTGCAATATGTCCTCGCCCACTTTCCTACCTGAAACTGTTCCCTTACCTTTTTTGTAGTTCGATTCTCTTGACATTCAAAACATTTCTAACCATTTCTATGAATTTATCATGATTCATATAATTTTTCATCTATCTTAGCATTTGATAATAGAAGTCATAGAGTTATCATATAGAGTTTCATATAGAGTTATCATTACTAAGAATGTATTTGAATACATTAATAAAACTTAACAAAAAACCTGTTTCTTCTATTATACACCAACACCAACACACAAAAAATTGATTTCTGCTGGGAAAGCTAGAAAAGAATAATTCAAATGGATGCTTAAAATGTGTCATCTTAGGACTTTTAGCCTCAAACTGTAAAGCCAGATTTAAAGGCCATGAAAAAAACCCTCTAAACTAAGTTCAAATATAAATTATCTTAGTCACTTTAATTGGTATTTACCATACTATTAAATATAAACATGATCCGGCTATATTTCCCATGATTTTACTAACAACTGGGCTTAAATTTGTGTACAGAAGAAGCGTTCCTGAATAAACTCAACATCTAACTAAACCAGCTGAGATGATCGAGCAAGCAAAATCGCAACTCAAAAAATGAATACAGCACTCGTTCGAAGAGAAATTTAACCGTTTCTACTATATAATATTTCTAATAGTATTCCAGTTCCCAAAATGCATAAACTAATGTATAAACTTACGTATTTTAGAGCACTTTCTTACCTTATACATTCTTTACTCTTCGTTTTTGGGGAACCGTCTTGTACAACTACAACAATGTCATGCGCAGCAGAGCGGAAGTACTCATTTTGGCGCCAAAACTTAAAACGCGCGCGCGCGGGAAGATTTTGAGCTGCRACGTATTTCCGGGACCATTGCTAGCTTACAAAAACTGCTCTCGCATCAAATTTTGATTCAAAATTTCTCCTTCATCTAAAATATTATTATGGAATTTTCAGTAAAAAAGATCCTACTCCGAAGAAAATTGCAAGAAAAATCTTTGCAGAAATAGTTTTTCATTTTGGACAAAAAGTTCTTTCTCGTTAGCCTATGGCCGATACTGACAGCGATAGAAAAGTTTCTTCACTACTCGTATAGGTTCTAGCATTGTTATGGAAAAGGAACATTTGATTTGTCTTTGTCGTTAGTGATTTTATGTCATCATTGATAATTTTATATGGACCTTGATTAACAATCGCAAATGTGGTTCATACTTTGACACGTGATCATGACGTCATTATCGTAATCACATAATTGAATTTGATTGTCCCAAGCTTGTTGGTCGCCGCGCTCTGCGCGCAAAGCAGGAAATCCTTCTCTGGTCTAGTTTGACCGGTATGTAAGTATATACGAAGAAAATGATAGGTGTTTTGTTTTTAACGTTTTGACTTTTTTGGACTCTTCAATCAAGAAAAATGTTTTGTATTTGTCCTTGTTCTAGTTTGACGCTTGAATCGATTTATGGTTTTTAATATAAGCTGAAGTTCTAATTGCAATTTATTTTCTCGTTTTTAATAAATCAACCAATAGATATGTGAGAAGGATTGGCCCCTACACCATCTTTTGCAAAACCTGCAAAACCCTTCAAAGTTTCAGGAGATTTTGCAAGGGATTTCAAGGAATTGCCGCACCATTTGTCGAATCAATTGCACATTCCAAAATGCCTGATTCCTTCAGTCTTTGTGGATCCGGTTACTAATGGCAAACGCGGCCAGTACCCAAGACCTTGAGAAGGTTGAAGTGAAAGTCGACATCTCTGGTAAAACCGGTATTGCAATCAGCAATAGGGAAAGTACTTTTGATCACAGAGAAGACGTCGGACTACAAGAGCACCAAAAAGGATCGTGGGGATTGGTCGTTTGTCTTGGTGCCTTTTTCATACAGTTTTTTATGTTAGGAGTTCAGAACTCTGCTGGAATCATTTATACAGCCCTCGTTGATGAATTTAATACACCAAGGGGAGTTACAGGTGAGGTTTTAGAGAAGCTTAACAGAGAAAATACTTTGTGCCTTTTTTGAAAAGATTAATTCAATTCAATGATAGTGGCACGTACGGAACTATTCTGTATTGCACTATGCACTGTGAATAGATAAGGGTTTTTGGCGTCTTTTAATTAATTCGTAGCCAACGCAACTTTAGTCAAATATTGCAGAAGTCTGGGCAGAAAGTTCGATAAGTCTTTTAGGAAGTGCGCAATAAAAATATTTTTYTTAGCAGTCATCTTGGAAGGGGCAATCAAAAAAATAGTAAATAGAAATAAGTGCGAAATAAGCGGCTTTCGAAATAATTCAAGCCGTGCGACTGGATAGTGTGTAGCCTATCCATTAATACTTTTTGTTACATTTTTTTTTTTTCTTTTTTATGTGGATAGCTTGGGTCGGGTCCCTGGCAACAGGAATGATGTTCTTCTTAGGACCTCTGRCAACATCACTATGTGAGCGCTACGGATGTAGAATCGTTGCCATTACTGGTACCATCTTCTGCATTTTTGGTTTGGTCTTTTCATCCTTTGTTAAAAGTGTTCCAGTCCTTTTCTTCACTTATGGCATCATGTGGGGAGCTGGTACGAGCATGTGCTATTTCCCGACAGTCATAGTACTGTCCAAGTATTTCAAGACACGGTTGGCACTTGTAAACGGCATTGTATGCTCGGGCAGCGGTGTGGGGACATTAATGATGGGTCCCTTCGTTCAGGTTCTTCTCTTACGACTTGGAATTGCAAATGCTTTTCGCGTCATTGCTGCCATGATGACGCTGTTGATTTTATGTGGAGCGACGTTCCGTCCTTCGCCGGCAGCCGCTTGCACTGACATGATCAACGACCACGACGCCAAGAGCAAAAAAAAGAAAAGGAAATTTTTCGACTGGGAAATTTTCAAGAACAAAGGCTACGTTGTGTGGTGTGCCTGCCTTTCCATCTTTGTGCTTGGTTACTTTGTTCCATTTGTTCATTTAGTAAGTCACACTTGGCAAACGTTTTGCATCAATGTAAATAAAAATGGGTTGATTTGTCAACTGTTGTCTATTACAGGTTCGTCACGCTGAAGACATGAACACGAGCCCTACTAAAGCCTCTTTGCTGATCGGCTACATGTCTATTGCTTCGACTTTTGGTCGGCTTCTTTTCGGAAAGATTGCAGATTTCCCTTGCATTAACAGGCTCCATCTCTATCAGGTAATCTAAACCTTCAGCCCCTTCCCCCTAAAGATTCATATTATGTCATATGACAGTGCTAAGTCATCTGTTTAAAATGTCGTTATTTTTCGACAGTTTGCTTTCCTCGTGATGGCTTTATGCTCCATTTTTGTAACAGTGGTTAAAGACTACGCAGGGCTCGTAGTGTATGCAGTAATTTTTGGAGTCTTTGAAGGTTGCTACGTCGTCCTGTTACCCGTCATCACGAGTGATATCGTTGGTTCTGATAAGCTTTCTTACGCCCTTGGCAGCATCTTTACTTTCATGGCTTTTCCGATGATGCTAGGACCACCAATAGCGGGTATGTGGAAAAGGGGGCTATTTTTTCACGTCAGTTGTCCATCACAATTATGAAGCCAAACTTGTCATTGCCGGCAATATTGGCCGCCATTTCTTGGTTAGACATGGGATCTTCCAACATTTTGTCGCAATTATGGTCACTTATTAGGTTTGATAGCTACTGGCTATTAAGTGCTACCCTCGCAAAACGAGGACGATTTTTGTATTACTGATCTGGGTCACTCGGGGAATAATCATGGTAATTTTTGTTGAAGTGTAACAAATCCAATACTTTTTCTTCCAAGGCTGGATCTATGACATAACGAAAGACTACACAGCGGCATTCTATCTATGTAGTGCAACATCTTTCTTGCCTGCTTGCTTGATTTTCCTAGTTCCCAGTCTTACTCCTCCAAGAAAAGGCACACCTTCGAGCTCAAACTCTTCAACCCCAAGAAGACAGGAAGTAACAACGAGCGACATCGAGTCAAATGAAAGCGGAAAGATTGTGAATCATGAGCCAAACGAGATGCTTCGTTCGTATTACGGTCCTGGTCTATTAAATGAGAGAGGGTGCCTTTACGAAGCTCCAAACTATGAAATCATAAAAGCGTTAACTCTGCAAAAACTTTAGACTGTAACTGCATTTTTTGTATTGCCTCTACATTTTGTTAGCATTCCTGCATGCCTGCCTGCTGTCTGATTTTCCTGCCTACTCAGTGCATGTGAGGTGTCTCATCTACTTCTGCCCTGCAACAGTAACTCCTGTCCCACGTCCTGTCTCTTTCTTATTTTTCCTGCCAAAAACTTGTGTCTGCTTACTTGCTTTCCTCCAGCTGTTTTTCACAATGCATTGTCGGCTTATGTTGCGACACGATTATACTAGCTTTTCACGATCAAACATCAAATCCAAGAAGTAAAAAAACAACATGGTGTAATATAGAGAGTCGCGTGTCGTGTATGCATTCTCCTACCATCAAATATTTATTAAAAATTACTGATGACTTCACCCATGGTATACATCATTTGTAATCTATATCCAGAACCTTTCGCTTCTTTTTTTACAACAGCACCTCATGACTTACGGYTTTACACACTGAAATATCTGCACAGAACTTAATCTGAAAGTCAATTAATAAACTGCGCTCACCTTTGAACAATTCAATGCACTCAAAACAAAGTGCAAACTAAAGCTATTTTTCTTATAATTAAACAGTGGATCGTACGGTTTCGCCTTTCCTCCGCCATGACTTTAAGAGAGTCCACTGAATCATTATTTATCATTATTTTGATGAAAAAAGTATATTCTTTCGGTACATTTTTATCTTCGTTTTCGACAGCAATTGAGAAGATATATAAGTATATAAGTAAAAATTAAAACAAATAATTAATCATCATCATCATATCATGTTAAGCCTGTATGGCAAGTAGGGCCGAGTTTGCGTAAATTATATGTGATGGGGTTGCTGGCCCCATGCACGTTGCTGGGTCCCTGTTAGTCATGGCATTACCCGTTACCACTTAAAGAATATATGATAACGTACCTAAAACTTTACCAAGCTAAGATAGATTCAAACCACAGACTCAACTATAGCCACTTTTTCAATTCTCTCGTCATACTTTTCATTTTTGATGGGGAGTGATTTTTGGGTGCTGGGAGAATGACTTTGCGAGGAATGTGACCCCGAACCGTTACTGTTGCTGGAATAGTCTAGTCTCGCACTACTTATAGGACTTCCGCTTCTAGAACTAAGAGCCCCAAGCTGTTGCGACAGGAGCACCCTTGTGATTGACCCACGGTGAGACATGGACGAATTAAAGCTTGTGTTTTTGGACGTGTTTAAAGAAATATCGGCCCCCGAGAGGTGTAATTCGCTAGTTTCCTCGTCATTTACGTCGTAATTGTACAGATATTCTTCATCTAAATCGTTAACTCGTTCTTCGGAAGCGTCTTTGGAGGAGCTGCTTTTGCATTCTTGTTCTTTGTCAATCCCTGAATCTTCTTCAACCACACCTTCTGTTCTAAAACTTATCGATCTTGAGGTTCGTGATATGATGGCAGAAGTCAGGAGAGAATCCATACGACTGTCTACAGAATCTCGCTGGAATCTTCCTCCCTTTTCATTCGACGTAAGCCAGGGAATAAAAAACATCAGGAAAGAGGATAGTGCTGTGGTGGCCCCACAGATGTAGAAAGCAGTGTTGTAAGATAGGAGTACGTCGTATAAAAGACCTGCGTTTGAGAAAATAATCACTTTATTTTCATCATTACTAAAACGACGAGAAAGAGTAATTTGTGTTTTTTGGACAAATGTAAATACTCCAAGCAGGATCCCGAATCAGCTCTTTTTTTTGTTCCAATTTTCATTTATTTGGATGACTCTGATTAGAAGCTGTTTAAAAAAGACTTTGTCCTAGCAGTAGGGTTACTTTAGGAGTATATACGGTAACCTCGGTCAATTCAATAAAAGTTAAGAGGCAGTCGATATCTTTGTCCGCGCTCGTTGGAGAGCCATTCGGAACTTAGGCTCTCGCACTTGCGCAACAAGGAGAAAGATGCTGATCAAATAAAGTGCGGGCCTTGTGGTCGACATCTGAGCAGCTGCTTGAAAATTAATAAATTCGCATGCGCAAAACCTGAATAGTCTATTTGACACCTCTTACCTGCGAAGGGGGGACCAACAGTAATGGTTATTGATATTACTCCATACAGGTTACCAAGAGCTTGATTTAGCTTGTGGACTCCAACAATGTCTGTCACAACAACAGCGATAAGTACTACGTACATGCCATCAAATAGGCCCAACATGACCATAACGGTCACGAATGCCGAGTACGTTTTGGCGATTGGACAAAGCGTGGTCGTTATCCCAAAACCAATGATCGCGAATTGGGTCATATATAATCTATTGACCCGAGGATGATCCGAAAACCTGCCGAAAACGATACGACTTACTGTCGAGGAGATGGACATGAAGCCGATTAGCATCGCACCTTTAGAAGAAGAGATCCCAAGACCGACAACGAGACTGACCTGAAGACAAAGTAGGAGCATAGATAAGCTGATTTTTTTTGGAGTTTGTAAGACTTGAATATAAGCAGTCATTTGAAGTAGAGAATGAAAATGTAAACATGGTGTGATTTTTTTTAATTAGTCAAATCTATACCGCTGTGTTCCTTGATCACAGACTCATTTATAAAGGGTTAGCCTCATTTTCAGTGTTAAAAAGAATTCACAAATACCAACTGTGTAGTAAAGAATGCACAACTTCTGAATACGTACAAACACTTTGAAATTCCACGGACCTTGACTTATCCATAAATATTCAAAGTAATTCCATACACAATCGAACCCTATAGAACAGATCATTTGAAAGATCTTCCAACAGTACTCACCACAGGCAGCCCAAGCACTGTATTTGTGGTGTGTAAGATAGTATTTACAGTAAATATATAGGCCAAAAAAATATGTAATATTTTTATATTTTTTAAAATATGAACATACCTTGCTCCTGTATTGTTCCTATCATACATACCACAAATACTTTGCTTGGGCTGTCTGTGTTCTCATGTACCCAAAAACTACCCCATTTCCTTAATTCAATCACAAATATTAGTAAATGGAACTTACAATGTGTACGTAAGGAATAAAGTAACCCAACATGAACAGCGACACTGCCACGGTATAAATAACGAATGCTTTGTTCTTCCAGACCCTTAAGTCCAGAAATGGACCATGGACTCTTTTGATGTCGTAAAGCTGCTCAAGAGGCGACCGGAATGGTTTATAGGACAAAGATGCCGCCATTAAGACACACATAACGCCAGCTAGAATGCGAAGAGTCGTTGCCAGACCGTAGTGTTTGAGAAGGTATTGAAGAAGAGGACCGAAGGTGAGTGTGCCCAATCCGCTTCCTGAAAAAGATCAGATTCATGGCCATAATGAGAAAATGACACACTCGTGGTAACGACACAGGGACGATCGATAGGGAACAACGCAGGAGTTCAATTCAGTGGAAATTATTTCACAATAGAAAAATGATATTTGTTACTGTGCATCGAAGCGAGAACGGCTGTGGCATTGCAATGATAGAGCCATGTGAATATTTTTCCACAAAAAAGGTATCTGTCAATGCAAGGTCACTGCCATTCTTGATTCGATGCTCAGGGACGGTTATCTATCAAGGTAGTGCCTGAAACCGACTTTGTAAGGTCACTGCCATTCTTGATTCGATGCACAGGGACGGTTATCTATCAAGGTAGCGCCTGAAACCGACTTTGAAGGGGAGTATTGAATCGCTACTAACCTGCTGTAATGATCCCGTTGACGAGTGATAATCTCCGACAGAAGTATTCACCGGGAACAGTTAGAGTTGAGAAGTAACACAGACTCGAGCCGATGCCCCAAAGTAGGCTATACGTGACGTAAATCTTGGGCAATTCTGTGACAAATGACGTCAGAAGCATTCCAAGCCCGCAAAGGACACCTCCAATGAATGAGATGGTACGGAATCCAATTCGCTCATTCAAGCCGCATGTGATTGGTCCAAATAAATAGAGAATGCCAACAGAAGCTGATCCTACCCAAGCTACAAGTGTATTAAAACTTGGTTAGCGTTAGACGGACAGACAGACAAGTGTGGCAAACAAACAGGCAGACATTGGGTAACATACAATCCATTCGTTTACCTGTCGCAGCTTTACTCTTCCCAAACTCTTCAAGAAGAAACGCAAACAGGATCCCAAAAGAATTATGAATACCAAGCACAACGAACTGGGACAAGAAAGCACAGGCACAAATTGCCCATCCCCGGCATCCCCCCTCGGGAATCAGTTTGATTCCTTGAAGTGCGTAGGGAGACTCTGTTATCACTTCCTCGGAATTAACTAGTTTTAGATGAAAGGAATTCGAACTGGTGTTGGAATCTGAAAGGTAACAACAACAAAGACATTTTCAATCGTGCGGAAGCTTTTGTCACAAAAACCTAGGTCATTCTTGCATGAACGTATTTTAAAATAATTACTTCATATCAAAAATATGTGGATTTTTCAGAGTCATTATTTTATCGCTATTAGTATAGGAAATCGCACGATCTCGAGTACCATTTGGAAATTAATAGACACGAGTAATGTTTTGAAAGTTCTTATAATTGCACGAACCTTTAGGCTCGTGCAATTAAAGAACTTTCAAAACATTACGAGTGTCTATTAATTCCAAATTGTACGAGAAGATCGTGTGATTTTTTGTTTATAGTTCACTCAACAAAATTTCAATAAAAAATTCGAAGCGACACCGTTCATCTTTGTCTATTTGGCGGCCGATTTTCAGTCCATCGTGCAACTGAAATGCATAAAARAGATTAGTTCTTACGGCTTTAAAATTTTATTTATGTTTTTTAAGTACAAAATGATAGAAAATAATTGTTTTGACATTGTTTTGGCCTTGTTGCCATAGCGACTTAATTCGGTACTCCTACGGAGTACTGATTAACGCTATAATTTAATTGTACTCCTCTCGACCAATCAGAGTCGAGTAATTTTGTTGAGTGTACTATAAGTCCTACAACGATACAAGTTTTGACGATTAGAAAGTAGTTCTGTTTAAGTACATAATTAAATGTCGAGGTTTTCATAGTAAAATTGTTAAACACTGACGCTAGGCTATTTTTTGGGGTGCATGTAACGTCATAGCCGTTCAGACTTTGACAAAAAAAAAAAAAGGTTTGGTGGTGCACGTCTTTCGACCACGTCTTTCGACCAACATGGCGGCCACGTCTTTTCTCCTTTTACTTTCATGTGGGAAGGGATGCAGTTATAATCCGAATGAAGTTCTACCTTTTGGCGCCAGCAACTTAATCCGAAAGGTGGCACTTTGCTAAAAAATGTTTTAATATGGCACACAAATAATGCAACACCAAAGAAATAATTCGAAAAGCATAACAAAATCTCCCATTATGATAATTACATTAATAAATAATGTTATCTTCAAAATTGGACATTGGACATAATTCAAACGTATAAATGTCTATGTATAGCAGGTAACGATAGATATATCGACATTGTTAGACCTACCTTCGGCAATAGGCTCGTCCATTCCCAAGACAGAAGAGTCCCGTTTGCTGCCAAAGCTGTGTATTTTGGTCTCTTTGTTTTCTTCTAGCGGCCTTGCTTGTGTATTCATGTGGTTTTGGTCATCTTTACAGTGTGGAACAATCGCTGAACGTCTCCTATCCATAGTTCAAAAAGGTTGTTCAGAAGGAACCACAATGACAAACAATAACAGCAGCAGATATAACACCTTGTTACAGTAATGTGTCAAATTAATTTTCGTGTTAAAATTCGTCTGAATTTTCCTTCTTTGATTTTGTGGTTCAGTTCTCAAATTGGACTCCCTAAGAAAGGTCTAGCTCATGAGTTCAAAACTCGAAATTGTCAGTAGATTTCTTCGGTGTGATTGACCCAAGAAACCTGAACAGCTAGTTTTGTCACCATGGAAACATCTACGTCACAGTCAAACCTAAAAAATGTTTTGCTAAAAATATCAGAATATTAATTCATTGATTTGTTATTATTTTTGGAAACTATTATTAATAGACTATAATGGACTATAGTAGTACTAGACGAGTAATTGGGCAACACCCCTGATAATTATATCGGCAGATAGTCGGCTGAAGGGCGTGACACTTGAGGATTATACAACAAGACGAGTATTTGGGCAACACCCTTGATGTTTCTATCGACAGGTAGTCGGAATGTTTCTATCGGCTGGAGGGCGTGATACTGTATAGTATAGAACTAGACGAGTAATTGGACAACACCCATGATGTTTCTATCATTTTCAAAAATTAACTATTGGCAAACACTATTTAAAGAAAATGAAAACGAAGAATGATATCCTAAGAAAATTAATTAACAAAACAAAAAAATTCGCCCAAAAGATCGAAAAAGTCCGCACATTTTGGGGAGACGAGCATTTTCAATTTGCTAAATTCGAACATGGCGACGATGAAAACCAGACAAAAATGCGCTGCAAAATTAACGCGTTAAGAATTAACTTTAGGAAACCCGAATTTCAAATAAAATTATTGGTAGGAATGCATGCAGCGATCACTACGTAAATCGGGAATTAAAAACCTCACTCGCGGAATCAAAAATTTATTTAAAAAAAATTTAGTTGAATTCTGAGGGATTGTTTTTCCCTYATTGGGTCGGTGACACGGCAAAGCATTGTGGTAACCGTCCTCGAACCGATTTCCTTTCTTTTCTCTTTGTTTTTATTTTCCGACCGAAAACATCTGGCGACTTTCAATTGATAAGTTGTTCACCAATGTTCAAAGATGCAAATGCCTTCATGGATGGAATTAACATATCGCTCATCGTATCATGTTTAATTACGGCAAAACCTAGATATATCGCGATATAGTTGGTGGACAACAAAGCATATGTATGTCGGCCAGCACTTGGTACCTCGTAAGGATTAGATCTAGAATGATTTGCAATCTAGACTTTAATCATGCTCTTTAACTGTATTAAATTTATGGTTTCTTAAAGAATATTATCTATTGATTTATCGAATAACTTTAATCAAGTTAAAAATTATTGAAGCTGTTCATAACTTACGTAATTTATTTATGCATTTTTTTCTTCATTTGTGAACCAAATTTCATTCGAATATTATCAGGAAGCACTCGAAGTATCCTACGGAGATGTGCAATAATAATTGGTTATAATAATATTTTAGATGAAATATTTCAAAGATGAGGAAAAATGAAAATAAAATAATTTAAAATCACCATTTTTTTGTCCATGTAATACAAAAGCAACATAAGATTTTTTGATTAATTCTCACACTTAATACGGAGCTTAATGCAGTAGGCTTTCCAAATTACACTTGAAGAAGTTTGCATGGTTTTTGCTGTTCGTTTTATAACGGACGCGTATAACACTGACTTAGACATTTCCATTCCTAACTACCTATTGTGATAACTTTAGACCTTCTTCGCAAGAAAAAAAAAGCTAGAGCCAGAGCGAGCGGTGATCTGACGTCATCCTTCACATATTCAACAAAAATATCTCTTAAACGTACAACAAACGAACTTCAAATTGATTTACTCAAAACGAATGAAAATATTTCGGTTTCTCTTCAACGCAGCGAGGCTCAAGTTTTTCTTTGCAAAAACGAATTTTAATATCATTTTGAAAGCTTTTTCATTTTCTATCTTTGGTCATATTTTTTTGGGGGAAGAGAGGAGCTTGATTAATGTTATCGATAATATTGCGTTTTTTTTAGCTCGCATCATTAGGAAGTAAAAACGCTTTCGACAAACATCTTGATGTGAAATTCATTCCCGGACAATTCCCGAGTTCATTTGTCACGAGAACAAACGAAAAATTAATCAAGCAATTTTTAACTCGCTTAAAATAGATTTTTAAGGATTTCCCCCAATTAATGAATATAGAAATGGATGGAATACTATTAGAGTCAAGTCTCAAACGGGAAACGAGTTCGTTTGTGCCAGTGAACGGATATCGAGTTGATCGCGATAAGGATAATTGACTAGGGCCTGTCGTCAATTGGTGTTTGTCAGTACCTACGGAATCTGAACGGACTGAGCGCGCAAGCCACTCGATTCTTACTTGTCAGTCATTATCAACCGAATTTCTGGAATTTAACGTCCCATGTTCACCCAGCCAACATAAATCCACTGAATTATTTATCAAGACGACTTGGATAAATTCTACTTAGATCTCAGGAAACCTTCATGGAGCGAAGCAATTTCCTTGAGTCTCGGCTGGGGAGTTTGTAAGAAGCCTGGTCTAATGCTTGCCGGGAGACAGTCGGATGACAATTCGGTGAGGTGGTTTTATCCGAGAAAGAATAAATAAGGATAAGGTGCATCAAGCTGATCAGTTAATAAGTGGATGACGACTGCTTGCGATCTATAACAAATCGACACTCCACACAGCGGAAATGCAAGAGCATGAAATATACTCAACGTTAGATCGTTTCGCTGAAAAGCAAAGCAGAAAACGCGAACGAGTACGCATTAATGTTAGTGGAGAAATGTTCGAGACGTTTGAAGAAACCCTGGCACGATACCCGAGCACCCTTCTGGGGTCAAAAGACAAGAGAAGCCGATATTTTAACTCGAAAAGATGTGAATACTATTTTAATCGCGACAGAGTAGTCTTTGATGCCATTCTGTTTTACTATCAGTCGCCAGGCATATTATCAAAACCGTCAACGGTTTCCTACGAGATCTTCTTGAAAGAGACGGCATTTTTTGAGCTGGAGAGTGATTCATTGGCCAAAATAGATTCCTCGGTCAAATGGTTTATCAACAATCAACGAAAGAAAAGAACTCTACGAGGGAGGATTTGGCAGTCGTTGGAAAACCCTGTTACACCTGCTGAACGAATCATAAACGTTTTCTCTGGACTATTAACCCTCTTATCAATGGCCGCTCTATGCTGGGAAACCCTGCCTGAAGCCAGAAAAGTGAATTTTCAATTAGACAATAATACGCATTTCAATAACAATAGAGGAACATTTTACAAAGAAGACCAGTTTTGGTTTCTCGCGGAGTCGATTTTTTCAGGATGGTTTACGATCGAATACTTTGCGCGGTTTGCGACAGCACCGAGGTCTTGCTATTTTCTATTCACGTTTTCAGGGATTGTGGATTTTCTCTCGATACTACCGTTTTATATTACTCTAATCCTCGATATATCGCTATCGGATACTAGTAGGACTTTATTCCCGTTGTTGCGCGTTGTTCGTTTGATACGAATACTGAAACTAAAGCGCTATAGTACAAGCGTACGTTTGCTCTTCGAGACCATTTTTGATAGCCGAGAAGAACTCCAAGTGTTCTTTTTGTGTTTAATATTTATAACTGTAGTTATGTCTAGTGCCATTTTTTACGTCGAAGGTTTGGGAGAGAATTCGCAATTTGTGAGCATTCCCGACGTATTTTGGTACTCTGTAGTCACGCTCTCTAGCGTAGGATACGGAGACTACGTCCCGAGAACAGCCTTTGGGAAAGTAATCGCGGCGCTGTTCTGCATCAGTGGTGTTGTGGTTATTTTCTGTTTTTCTCCTGTTCTTTTTGCCAAGTTCCGTCGATGCAGATATCGATTATTTCGGGAGCAGATTGAGCTTCAAATCTACAGAGAGGAAGCGGAAAGACTTTATAATCAGAACAACCCAGGCGAACACTTGACTATAAAACCAAAAGATGAAAAGTTGCGGCGTAATAAGAAGTGAAAAAAAGTCACTTAGCTGGCTAAAGATATATTCATTAACAACCACGAGCGCTCAGTTCGATATTTCTTTAATTCAGACATTGAGATTGCTATCTTTACTTGGAATAATTGCATCATGAATAAAACTGCCCCCTCAAAAAAAGAAAAAAAAAAAAAACTTAAAGCCGAAATGATGTAGCTACTGTTTTTACGCCATGGTGTTGCCTACGGTCCGTACTAAAGCAACTTGAGAATAAGATACATCGTACGATAAGATAAATAGAACAGATACCTTAATGTTCCAAAGAAAATCGAAAAGTGCTTTCTGAAGGGGAGATCTACGAGTCTAGACTTACCACAAAGAATACTGATCAAAATCATTCATTTTTTTAAAGAAAGAAAAAGAAAGAAAGAAAAATGGCACGCATGGTGTGTTTCCCGCCTCGTTGCGCTGCCCGCCTTGTTGCGCACAGCTTCTTTGAAAATTTAATAATCGATTGAGAAGCATTTTTCTTTCGACCAAGTTTTCTTTTAATAGCTCAGTTAGAAGTTGTAAGCAATAAACTACCTAATTAGTTGGTAATATTACGAAGAATCACTTATAATGGTTTTTCAACTTTTTATAGTGTGGGAATGGTTGCCAAACCATACTTTTTTAATGAGCCTAGACAAATTAAAATTACTATTGAGACTATTGAATACGTAAACTTTTACCTATTGAGACACCGGTAAAGCTTATATAAAAGCAACAAGAGCTACTGAGGTACATAAAAAAACGTTCAATAAACACTTTACAATAGGGGTTAAGTTGTAAGCATAGCCAAAAACCTTTTTGGATGGGAATTTTCGAATGGAGCATAAAATGATCGACTGTCAGACTTCTCGCCCACGTTCATGATCATGTTTTCAATCATAACCTAAAACGACTGCAAGATATGCGCGAAAAAAATTTATTTCTTTTTAAAATGATCTTTAGGAGTCGTTTGAGGTTTAACTAGTCGCCTTCGTCGCTATATTTTTGGGGGATATTTTGGCGCGAAAACTGTATTTTTTCTCTAGTTTTCTTTTACAGCAATCTATGTAATTGTTAAAAGCGTTTTTCCTCTACTCAACGGAATAGTTAATTGAATAGAGCCAAACGTCCTTGAATCTATAATGCTAGGAGCGCGCGTGGACAGGAAGTGATAGGTCTGTTTTTGTGGTAAAATTTGACGTACTTGAGGCTTTCATCAGGTTTTTCATTTCCAACCCAAGGCAAACCCCCAAAAGGCGCCAAAGCCTCCTAGTAGTAGAATATTATTAACCTTTTCTTTTGACGAAAATTCGATTACTCGTGCTACAAAAAGTCAACCAAACAGCGCAGTTATAAACTGCCAGCTCCAAACTGTCTCGGATTTTTGTAAACAAACAGTCGGTTTTAATTTGTTGTAATGGAATATTTGAATTACGTTCAATCGGCTAACTATTTGATGCAACCACGCGTTTTCATTATAGCCTAGAGAAAGTAAATGGTTGGCTTTGTGTTTTATCACCTGTTTTTGAGGCTATTAAGAATATAGCTCTTTGAGATTCAGGCTGATTTATTTTTGGATTTATGTGAGCTTCCATTTCCACAGCGACGAATTCAGCAACCATCGAAGCGCGGAAAGTGCGAACATGCGCGCGGAAACGCTGCGAAGAGATAAGCCAAGTACGAGGAATGAAGAATTCTAGTTCTAGGTTATGATGGAATCAATTAAGAAGTTTTAAACGAGACTAAAATGCTTTGCTTCGTGTTATATCTCGACATTTGGCATCAAGAATCCTACATCAATTTAAAACAAACGAGAAACTGTTATTTTTCTTAATGTTGATAAAAACATTTGCCCAGAGGCACAACAAATTTGGAAAGCTATATAGAGGAGGGCAGATTGATCAGAAAGCTGTTTATATGATTCAAAAGAGACACTTCAGTTTCTGAAATTATTGGCCAATATTAATGTAAAAGTGGTTTTGTGGTTGAAGAGCCTTTGCTGCGCAGGTGATTTGAAAAAATAGCAAAGCCGAGGGAAGGGACGAGGAGGGAGAGAAAAAGAACGAAAGTAATTCGTTAGTGAGTAAGTTTGATATTGAGGGGGATGGCTGGGGGCTTCGAGGTAATTAAAAAAATGGTTGTAGCCCCCTTTCACTCAGAAAAACTGAAATTCATGATCCTCCTATCAAACCCCTATCGTCAAAATAAAAAAGTTTGGCTAAAATTTTTTACGGGTGACCCAAATTCGTGATAACCCTCGCCTCTGCAGAAGCTCCAGCCCTCTTCCCCAAATAAAAGATGTACCTTCCATAACAGGTCATTGCGCGAGGTGATTTGAAACGCGTGGCATGTGTGGGGAGGGGATAGTAGAAGGAGTGAAGTAAAAGAAGCTCATCGCGAGAAAGAAGGAATAGGCTTCCTCACTGCTGCTTTCAGTGTCGTCACGCAACGCTTTCTCCCTCCTCAGCGGAGAAAGCTTTGCGTGACGACACTGAAAGCGGGTGTGAGAGAGACTAAAATGGAAAGGTATAATATTGAACGATTAAAGAGATAGGAGGACAAACTAAGTGAGCGGAGAGGAGGGATCGTAGGCTAAGAGAGCAGCGCGCAATGATATTAATTTGAATATTGTTTGAAAAACCGGAAGAAAAGGTAACCATTCGAAGCAAATCAAGTATTTATCCTGAGAATAAATCTATATTAAATATCGCAGGCCCAATCAAACAATCTAATCATCAAGATATGAAAACATATTGATTTCGATATAATAAGTTCCAAATAATGACGTCACTTTACTCTAATTCAGAAACTTGAGAACTCCTGGTTCGGATTAATTTAATATGTGCAGTTTCTGTGCGCTACAGCTCGACTTTGAATGCTCCTTTCCTCTTTTTATTCATATCTTCTATGAACTTCTGATTGGGTTGCCTGTGTCCTTAAAACATGCCAATCAAAAATCCGCGCTGTAAACCATTGGTTGTGTATTTTTACTATGTTTACACTCAACTGGTTTTCCACAGGCTTCAAAAACCAGAGAAAAACGTTTGACTCATAAAGAAATTTGCTTCCAAAACTACTCTCTGAAAAGTTTATGAGATTAATAATTAAGAGTCTATTAAGCTATGCTCAATGTATAAACCACCTCCCGTTGTTCAGCGGTGTATTTACACTTCGAAGGCTGAATTTCAAGGGTTATTCTTTCTTCACCTCCCAAACAAACATGGCGGCCTCCAGCTACAAAGACTTCGGTCCTCTTGTAGGTGCTATAGATCAAGGTACCTCAAGCAGTAGGTTTTTGGTAAGTCATTGATATAAAACGCAAATACTAGAGGATTTTTTTTCGAGTATTGACGTTTGGGTTTCGTTTGATTATCATTTTCATGACAGGCTTTCGAAATGCTTGGCATATGGACGCCGTTCTGTACGTACGTGTTATGAATAAAGAAAAGGTTCTTCAAAATGCGATAAAAGCAAACCATCTTGTTTGCTCTGACTATGATAAACTACGATAGCCTCTTGTATTAGTGAAATGTTGATTTTGAGCTTTGCCATGAGTATGCAAATCGATAATTATAAGGTCTCCAGATGGCAATGAATACGATATTGTCATGTCGAAAATGTGGATTAGAGTTGCACTTTGCCCTTTTACTTTCAGCCATAGTAGATTCTAAGTCAAACACCGATTTATTAGAGTATATCGATCCACTGGCCGATCAGCCGATCTATAAAATCACAAATCAATATGCATGGTATTTCTTGTCATGTGTAAATTTGAAAAAATATATTATTTTTGATTATTTTTAGTTGTTTGCTAGTAAAACTGCAGAATTACTTGCATTCCATCAAGCTGAGTTTGAAAGTATATACCCCAAGGAAGGGTAAGCTTTACCAATGTTAATATACATGAATATTCTTTGTTTGCACATGACTTCATAGTCGCCATGTTGGATGAATTTAACAAAAGAATTGTCAATGAATTCTTTTGTTGTATCATCCAGCATGGCCACCAAGTCTTTTGTTATTTCACTCCCTTGGGAACCAGCAATAATATACCTCTCTATTACAGCGCTTCTCAATCATGCACATGAAATCATGAAAAAAGTTTTTGAGACATAATAGAGTTTTGGTGGACGCCAATCAAAGAGTTCATCAGCATTATTGGAAAATGCAAAGCTCTTAAGGGCATGTACCTATGGAATGTCATGGAAACGTATTGATTGACATCCACCAAAACCTTTATTTGTCACAATGGTAAATTGTACAATTTCATGCATGTGATCGATAAGCACTGTAATGGTTAGGGATCCATATATGGCAGTCATATATTCTGCTACTGGCCTCTGATTGGTTGAGGTTACTAGCCAACCAATCAGGTGTGTTCATGGACAATTCCTTACGCTGTAGTACATGCTTCCAAGCATTGATATGAAAAGGTTGATTATTGCTTTTTTTAATATAATAAAAAATTTAATTATTACACGAATGCAGTGGTTGCAAGTTGCCCATGTTTTACTGTTGCCAGTCAAAAATATAAAAGGTACCGACTGATTATTTTTGATTGGCAGAGCAAAAATACTAAATTTCAGCATGTAGCTTGGAACTACCAAGGTTTTGTAATATTGGAAGCAGCATGTAAGTGTCCACCACCAACATTTCTGCATCTCTTCAAATCATATACCCTGTCCCCCGAAACAGATGACAAATGACAATAAAGAATTCTAATAAGCTGCAGAAAGGATTGATCAAGCTGGTTTAACACAAAGCATGGCATATGTACCCTTATTTCATTACAGTCACTATAGTCTGTTTAAAACAAGCAACTGCATTTCTGATGTTTTTTGTTTTGGCACAGATGGGTGGAGCAAGACCCTAAAGTTCTTTTGTCTTCTGTCTACAAATGTATGGAGCAAACACTTCAGAGCTGCAAAGACCTCAATATCAACCCAGCTGATATCAAAGGTAATAAAACTCATTCGAAGGCCCAGGGTCCAGTTGTACAATACCTGGATAGCGTTATCTGATGGATAAATCTTGACCAGTGGATAAATTTATTGGATAACAGCATTTACTATCCAGTGGATAAGAATGTATCTGCCGGACAGTATTATCCAGGCTTCGTACAACCAGGTCCTGACAAATTATTGTCTAAAAATTTGACCCAACACTCAGACAACATTTGAGTCAACTAGATTCCCTTTTTCCATATAAAAGATGAGTTCATTGCATTGAATGATAGTAGTTATAGTAATAATATATTGTTATATAGTTATAGTAGTTATGTATTGTTGTTTTCATTATAGCTCTTGGTATAACAAATCAAAGAGAGACTACGGTAGTATGGGACAAAATCACTGGAGAACCACTACACAATGCTATAGGTATGCTATAGAAAGCTGTACACAAGTTACAGTCAAAATAGCTCAAGCTTACCCACTGAGGTGCCATTAATTATTGTTTCATTATTCAAATATTGAAATTTATTCTTCTTTCTGAGAATATGAAGACTCAGAATTCCAAATAATAAACGATTCAAAGCTTGAATTCTGATTGGACTATTCCACATAAGGAACACCATGATATCTCCTGGGGGGAGTTGATACAGTCTAAGCCATTCCACTCCTACCACCAAAATAATGAGCTCCTCAGATTCTTCCTTGTCCCTTAACCCTTGGAAATCTTTATTTTACACCTTGGCATAGTTCTATATATTTTCTGTGATTCGTTTAGTTTGATATAAATTTGATATGAAGATTTTGTAAATTTATAAATGGTGTCACTTTTTGACCAGCCAACCTAAGTCTTATTTGATGTACATGTTCTAACCATAATCATTGATTTTATTTTTAGTCTGGTTGGATACAAGAACGAAGTCTACAGTGGAGAAATTTGTAGCTTCAAACCCAAAAAGCACCTTAGACAGTGTTAGGGTGAGTTACCCTAATCATAACCTAATCATTGCTCAAATATCTTTAACTTTCAAGAAAAAATGTATATAGCAGTGATCCTAAATTAAGGAAAATAAGTATTTACATGTATATATATATATATGAAATTCATTTTTCTTCAGTCTCTCTGTGGTCTTCCAATCAACACATATTTTAGTGCCGTTAAACTCAGATGGTTAATAGACAACTCTGAAGCAGTACAAAAAGCAGTGAAGGAAGAGAGATGCCTATTTGGTACAGTGGATAGCTGGTTACTTTGGGTAAGGAAAACAATCTGTGATTATTCTCCACTATTCATTATTTTTTGCTATTATGCATGTGCATTTTTCAGGTTTTATCCAAAACAGAAAATATCTTTAAACCCTCAAATTTTATTAATACCCTGAGAGAGCCTCTGTGCCCTTGAAAGCCAGGACATGGGTAACTCACAGATTGAAATGGGATTTAATGTGTTTTTATGAAGAAAGGAAACTTGAAAACCCAAACCTCTAACCACATGCGATGGCAATCCCAGGAATCAAACCTGAGACCCAAGAGGTGASAGGCRCAAGTGCACTACTGCTGGACTACTGCTATGCCACCCTTGATTTTGAATATTTCTTTGTGTGTTGTTGTTAATGAATTTTGAATTGATTTAGAACATGACTGGAGGGACCAAAGGTGGAATTCATGTTACAGATATAACTAATGCATCCAGGACAATGCTAATGAACCTGAAAACTGGAGATTGGGATCCTTTTCTCTGCAAGTAAGTGACTTTAGTATAATTTTAGRCTTGAATATAGGGTTTTGCACACTGTGATTGGTTGAGAGACCAGTGATTATGAGACGATATTCACTGCTTGAGCAGTGATTTTGAGCTTTGCCAAAGTTTGTCTGAGCAGAAGTAATACTAAAACTGTTTGCAAATAAGATATTTTTGCAATAACGTTTACGTATGCTGCCTCCATAGAATGGAATAATTTACCTGCTACAATTAGAAGTATCACTTCACTGTCCACTCTTAAAGAACACAAAAACGTACTCCTACGGAAAAGCCTTCGACTAGTATATTATGATTATTATTTTTTGCCTCTACTTTTTTCATAAACAGAACAGATTAATGTCCTATGCTTATTTGCGCTTTATAAGCATAATTATTATTATTACCTTTTTATGGTGGAATAATAAACAGTGGATCATTACTGTGGCATTAGATTCTGATCTTCTTTTTTCATTTCCTAGACTATCTGGGATGCACTTGTAGCACGTGCTGAATTGATGGCTTATTTATTTACTTATTGCCCAGCACCCTCCAAATATTATTTTACACCTAACTTCACTGACCATATATTCCGTTATATTTACACTAAATATTATCAATATTATTTTTTCCAGATTTTTTAATATTCCAACAACAGTCCTACCATCTATACGAAGCTCTTCAGAAATTTATGGGAAAATGGTAATAAGATGTCTATCGCTCCTAAAACATTCCTCCCTTATCTTGGATTCTCCGACTTATGACAACTATTTTTCTTACTCTATCAGGTTAATGGACCTCTTGTGGGAACACCTATATCAGGGGTAAGTATAGATATATTAACATTACTCTAATCTAGAGTGGGACGGCGTATTAATATATGTCAATAACATTAGGTTCTCGGAGATCAACAAGCAGCTCTCGTAGGGCAAATGTGCTTCAGTAAAGGAGATGCAAAAAACACGTAAGTTTGAAGTAGTGTTAAAGAATCTCTCTGTGCCTTTTTTGAGGTTTGGAAAAGTAAATGGAAAAATAGCTTATCTCTCAGTGTGCACAACCAAAACCCATTTAAAAATACTGTAATTGCATTACAGCATATCCTAATTCATTGTTTTTTCCAGATATGGAACTGGCTGTTTCTTACTTTATAATACAGGACTTGAGGTTGGTCTCAGTGCTTGAATATTACATGCCCTTAAACCATGCTATATATGACTGCTACTCTTAGAATAGACTGAGAGATATTCTAAAAAAACCTATATATCTAGACAGTATGTTTTCCCAAATAAGATATTTTTGCCAGCATTCTAACGATATTTGGTTGACAAAAAGCCAACAAGTAAATTCTATGATTTTGTGAACAATAAGCAATATGAATTTGTAGCCCACAGAATTTCCAACTATTACAGTAATAACAGCTTCTCTAACACAAGTGTATGGAATAGAAGGTCATTAATCTCAGCTGTCACTTATTGTTTTCAGCCTATCCTGTCAGAAAATGGCCTGTTAACCACAGTAGCCTACAAACTTGGACCAGATCAGCCAACTATATATGCATTAGAGGTAGGTACAGACCACCCTTGCCCCATAAGGCATAGGATTAATTTGATCAAAGCCTGAAATGAGCTTAAGGCTGATTGAACAGGGCAAGGCTAACCCACTAATGGATTGCAACTTGTCCAGGACCAAGGTAGTGTGGTTTGGTCCATATTTTGGTCCCACATTTATTTTTGTTGTCTCCTCATACATCTGGGTAGCTGTACATTCATGGGAGGGAAGGTGGCAGGGAAGGGATGGAGGGAAGGGATGGAGGGAAGGGATGGAGGGAGACAGGGATGGAGGCCAGCAGGCAGGCAGACAGTAACAGTACAGCAGTGACGCAGCTCAATGTGGTCCAACTGAAAGCATGTCACCAAAATTTCTTTCTTACATGTATTAATAATGTTAAGGACTATGGTTGTTCATTGTAGGGCTCAGTAGCCATTGCAGGTGCAGCTATCAAGTGGCTTAGAGATAATCTTAACTTGATTAAGGATTCTTCTGAAATTGGTGAGTTTAATCTACAGGCCATAGTTTTTTTTACCATGAAGAAATGTTTATGGAGTTAATATTGCTCTTTTTGTTATTTATTCAGAATCCTTATCTAAAAGTGTTGATAGTTCTGCTGGAGTGTATTTTGTACCAGCATTCTCTGGTCTTTATGCTCCATATTGGCAGATGGATGCTAGAGGGTAGGTTACTTTAAACATAAGCCTGGTTCACAATAGGATAGCAATCAGTGTCGGAAGCAAAATATGCAGACTCAGTAGTGTACTGCTCATTAACAGTGCTTGTCTTTTTCCACCCCTAGGTGATACTGAGTCTGTGCAAGTTGCTTACCATTCAGATTTTGACACTAGTGTGAACCAGGCTTTACCAGATACCTTATTACTGTTCATTATTATAATTCATTTCTATTTTGTTTATCCCTAAAGTATAATCGTAGGTCTTACTCAGTTCACCAACAAAGCACATGTAGCCAGGGCGACCCTAGAGGCAGTGTGTTTCCAATCTAGAGAGGTAAGTGTATGCAATACTTAATGGAACCTAATTGCATTGCATGTAGAGGATATTTTTGGGAAAACATTGGATTTTTTTGTCAAGTGAAAATGTGAGTTTTTTCCATTGCATTCAAGAATTTAGTTGAATATGGAAGTGCATCATTATCCATAACAATGCTAAACTAATATTTTCTTGTACTGCAGCTATTAGATGCAATGAATGAAGACTGTGGGATACCATTGGCAAGTCTCTTGGTTGATGGTGGTATGACGGTCAATAATCTACTCATGCAGTTACAAGCTGATATTCTGGGTATTAGTGTAGGTAAGTGGGAATAACTTGTAGGGTATATATATCTTTTTCCTCATTGACCTAATATAGGCCTTTGAATCTCTTTATGGTTTATACGTCCAAGCTGCCATCTGATAGGGAATATGTTTAGATTTTGGGTGGGTGAGGCACGAGAGGACCTCCACGCCTTCTCTTTATTGTTGTGGCATTAATTCCCTATCAATCTCCTTAATATTAAAGCATACAACTCTGTTTTTTATCTGTGTCTTGCTTGGAAAATTTTGTCTGTTGTAAACTGAGAAGTATAAAGAGGAACATGGAAGGTTTATAGGCATAGAACACTAATGTTCTATGTACTCCCTTTTAGAGCGCCCCACTATGCCAGAGACAACAGCTCTAGGTGCTGCAATGGCTGCTGGTGCTGCTAAAGGAATCGAGGTGTGGCCATTAAACCCTGAAGATAAATCCCAGATCAATACTGATGTGTTTAATCCATCAATGGATGCCAAAGGTAGGACAAGCCAACAACCCTGACACAACCTCTGGACTGATCAAAGTCAGGGTATGGCTAACTCACAAATTGAACCCTGAAACAACCTCTGGGCTCAGCTAAGCCAGGGCGCAGCTAACTCACAGATTGAACCCCGAGACAGCCTTTGGGCTGATAACAGTCAGGGCATGGCTAACTCACAGATTGGATTTTGAATTCAGCTTGATGGGTTTGTGTAGGATCTAGAGTCCAGGAATCGAACAAGAGACCACAGAGATGATGAGCAAGTGTACAAACACTACATCACTATTAAAGCTTGATGTTACAAATTGTAAAGTTTGTAAAGCTAAGCAATATTTTCTGTTTTAAAGAACGAGAACGTCATTATGCAAAATGGAAAAAGGCAGTAAAGAGATGCATGAAATGGGAAGTGGATGAACAAACAGAGAGTGAAGGTGAGACCATGGTGTAGATATCCCATGCAAGGCTTTACATTTTGTTGCAATATTGGTAGGATGGCATTGCGAGTGACATCATCTTGAATGCAACTATCAGTTCGTTTCCTCATTTGCTTTGTTTTTGAAAGGTCATTAGCTTTTCCCCCCTAAAGTTTTATATCAGAGTCTCCATTAAAGGTTGACCACCTCACCCCCCAGAGTCTGAGCCGACATAAGACATGGTATGATTTGGCAGAGTCACCAATAAAATTTGACCACCTCACCTCCCAGAGTGACCAAATCTCCTCACCAGGCTAGGTTCTCTTAAGGCTAAGCCTACTCCAGCACTCGACATAAGACATGGTATGATTTGGCAGAGTCGCCAATAAAGGTTGACCACCTCACCCCCCAGAGTGACCAAATCTTCTCACCAGGCTAGGTTCT